TATTCTTCATATGTAATTTAAAAGCAAGCTTTTCTTTGTAAAAACTTCAATTGAATTTCAATAAAGTTAAAGGCATGCCTTTACCGTTAATATTTAAAAAAAAAAAAAGTTGCAACTTTAATAACTGAAGTTTCAAATTAAGTTAATTAAAGCTATATCTTTAGTTGACTAAAATTACAAGTTTAGTTAACTAAAATTGCAACTTCAGTTGACTAAAGTTTTAACTAAAATTGAAACTTCAGTTAACTAAAGTTGCAACTTTAGTTAACTAAAATTGCAACTTAAGTTAAACTAAAGTTGCAACTTTAATTAACTGAAGTTATAGTTTTAATTAACTTAAATTGCAACTTTAGTTAACTAAAGTTGTAATTTTAGTTAACTGAAGTTGTAATTTTAGTCAACTAAAGATATAGTTTTAATTAACTTAATTTAAAACTTCAGTTACCAAAGTTGTAACTTCAATTAACTAAAATTGTAACTTTAATTGACTAAGATTGCAGTTTTAATTAACTAAAGTTACAACTTCAGTTGACTAAAGTTGTAATTTTAGTTAACTAAAATTACAACTTTAGTTAACTAAATTTATAATTTCAGTTAACTAAAATTGCAATTTCAGTTGACTAAAGTTGTAACTTCAATTGACTAAAATTGAAAATTTAATTAACTAAAGTTGTAACTTTAATTTACTAAAGTTGTAACTTAGTCAACTGAAGTTACAATTTTAATTAATTGAAATTGCAAATTTAGTCAACTAAATTTAACTTTAGTTAACTGATATTGTAATTTTAGTTAACAAAATTACAATTTAGTTAATTAATATTACAATTTTAGTTAACTGAAGTTGCAACTTTAGTCAATTAAAATTATAACTTTAGTTAACTGGTATTGTAATTTTAGTTAACTAAACTTGCAATTTTAGTCAACTGAAGTTGCAATTTTAGTCAACTAAAGTTGCAATTTTAGTCAACTGAAGTTATAACTTTAGTTGACTGAAGTTGCAACTTTAGTTAATTAAAATTATAATTTTATTTAACTAAAGTTATAACTTTAGTTAACTGTAATTGCTATTTTAGTTGACTAAATTTGCAACTTTAGTTAACTAAGTTGCAACTTTAGTTAACTAAAGTTGCAATTCAAGTTAACTAAGTTACTAAAATTATATTATAACTTCAGTTAATGAAAATTGTAACTTCAGTTGACTAAGGTTGCAACTTCAATAAATTAACTAAAGTTGCAACATTAGTTAACTAAAGTTGCAACTTCAGTTGACTAAAATTGTAATTTTAGTTGACTAAAGTTGTGACTTAAGTTAACTAAAACTGCAACAGTTGATTTTAGTAGTACATGGATTTATAATTTAGCAATATAGATAAAATTTTGTTAGTATATAAATATAATTTTAATAGAGAATGTATTATAATTTAGCTACATATTCATGATTTGCTGCTAAATAGGTTTGTATTTAAACTATTAATTAGATTTATCATTTAGTTATAAGTATGTGTATTATTTAATAATGCCAAGTTTATAATTGTCATGACTTATGCTGTAATTAGTATGCTTAAATTTGAGATTAGGATATATTTAAAGTTAAAATTCATTATTAAAAAATATATATGAATTATTGCAAAACTTATGATTTTAAATAAGATCTAAATTTTAATATCAGTTATGAAAATAGTTTTTAAAATAAATGGTTTATAATTTCAATAGTTAGTAGTAGATTAGTTATTTTAGCAATGAATGGATTTGTGATTTTATAGATAGGTTCATAATTTTTTTGATAATGAGTTGTAACTTTATTATAGTAGGTAATTCTAAAATTTTAACAATAAATAGGATAGTTAGTAATTTCAATTCTTGGTAAAATTTTGATTTTAACAATAAATAGATGAGTTACTGTAAGTGGTTTTAATATTTCAGTAAATTTATAGCTAGCTTATGATTCAATGCAAAATTTCAATTCATATCATATTAATGTTAATCAAATTAACGTATATGTCGCATCTGAAGTAGCGATTTATCTAAAGTAGCCACTTTATATCTAAAGTAGCACCCTGGCTAAAATTAAAATCTAATGCATGCATGAAGATCTAATTTCAGGGGCTTAATTTTAGCCAGGCGCTACTTCAAATAAGTCGCTACTTCAGATGCGACATATATACCTCAGCAGCCATTTAACTTTAATGATATTTGATTGCCTGACTTCTTTAAATAAATTTATTAATTAATGACAGCTAAATTAATAATAAGTATAATATTCAGCACAAAGCGTCACATATAGTTATAAGTGCAAATTTATTATTTTTAGAATGAATAATCATCTTTCGCTCAAATCTTTGTCGATCAGTGATTATCATTTCATCAACCCGGTAAAAAATCCGATAAAAAAAAAATAAAAATTCTAAAAATAAAGAAATCATACACAAAAATTTCGATTGGGTCACCGATACAAGTGATTAAAAATCAATTTTTTGCTATGATTTATTATTACATCTTTAATTATGCTCAAAATATTTTTGCTTAGCGTTTTTGATTCCTTTTGTTTTAACTTTAGTCGTGTTTCAACTTCAGTCACAAGGTATACTTCAGGCACAGTAATGCACCTGAAGTTGGCACCTGCCTAGAGTTGCAACTTTAGGCAACTAAAGTTACAACTTCAGGCAGTGCAACTTTAGTCAACTGAAGTTGCAACTTCAGTCGAGTGTCAACTTCAGTCACGACACATATACGACGATCTTTCATGGTCTCACTGTGGTAGCTAGATTTTGATGGGGCAGTGCTCCCTTAACCATTTTTCATGTGACATATTGTATGACTGTACCGTAGTAAATAAAAAACAAACATGAAAAATCACAATAAATTTATTAGAACGTTATATTTATATGTACAGTACAGTAAATTCGTTGTATATAAAGTTAACTGCATCCATTCATTTATAAAATAATCAAACTTACAATTTATTTAAAAAATAAGCATGGTTATTTTGAAAATTATTTTTACGTCAGTTCTAATTACTTCATCATATGTGTGCTTAGGGTATTTAATAGGCAACATGGATTCACCGTATAGAGTTCTATTAGTTTATACTGGACTTTGCATTTATTGTTGCATGAATTTAAATCTACGTATTAAAGAATTTTCTTATTTCTTGAAAAAGCATCCTAGAATAATAATTGTTGTGTTCACTATACCTGCTCTAGCATCTAGGCATGATCTATACACTTTTGCTACTGTCTTTATTGTTATAATAACGTTAGTTGTGACTATTTCAGTTTTTAATCGTATCGTTTCAAAAAATGCATTTGGAATGTTAATTCAATTTACAAGTCATGTAATAGCCATAGTATTATTAACAATTTTATTTAAAAACATGGCTGAGTATATACTATTTTCAAAATCATTTACTAATACATTCTATTTAAGTTTTAAAGAATTTCTTTTTATAACATTTATTTCGTTATTAGTATTATTATTTATTATATTTATTCGATTAATTATGGCAAAAACTATTTCATTACAAGCATTCAAAATTGAATTAACCCTTTGGTTTCTTTTGGGAAAATTGATGTTTCATTTATATTTACCAATTTGTTTGTATTGTGGTAATTTACGTTCAGGATGGATGTGGTGTCATACTTGTGGAAAAAAATATTTTCAAAAGAATTTTCCAAATTGGACAAGTGGAAATAATGATATTGATGAATTAGTTAAATATTATCAATTAAATGCAAAACACAATGTCGATTATATTGAATGGATCCCTTATAATCGATTTAAAGATTTTGATTTGATCGGAAAAGGTGGATATGGCACTGTTTATTCAGCTGTTTGGTTAGATGGTCCTTTAGATATGATGAAATTTGGTAAATTTTGCAGATTAGGTGAATACAAAGTAGCTATTAAAAGTATTGCAAGTTCATTTTGCAATATATCTGATGAACATAAAACTTCAGAACTTTTTAGAGAGGTATGTAACTATTCTTTATACTTTTATATATATTTTTATAAAATAATATGCTACTATAATTTTGTTTAGCCAATTGCGCTTGTAGTATCAGCAATTTCGAGTAGAAACGACATAGTAAATTTTGATGTTCTTAGATGTTATGGATTAAGTAAAGATCCTAATACCAAATCTTATTTGATCGTTACACAGTTATGTAAATGTGATCTTTGGAAGTATATAGAACAGAATTTTGGTAAGATAGATTGGTTTGAAAAATTACGAATATTAATGGAGACCGCTAATGGATTAAAGACAATACATTCTGCTGGTCTTATTCATCGAGACTTTCATACAGGAAATATTTTAGTCGGGCATGATAATTTTATTTACATTTCAGATCTTGGATTATCATTTTATGAAGACGAGGGTACAACAGATTCTGGAAATTCTGGTGTATTTGGAGTTTTACCATATATTGCACCAGAAGTTTTAAACGGATTTCTATATACGTCAGCTTCAGATATATATAGTTTTGGAATTATTATGTGGGTTATTGCATATGAAGAACGACCTTTCTCCAATGAAATGCATGATAATATCAGTTTGACTTTAGCTATTTGTAATGGAGAACGACCACAAGCTAATAGAAATATGTTTATACCTGACTGCTATAAAGAATTAATGGAACAATGTTGGCATAATGTTCCATCAAATAGGCCAAATATTAATGAGTTATATGAAATCTTAAGAGGATGTTACCTTGCTGGAATAAATGATAATCAATTTGAAGATGCAAATAGTAAAAATAAAAATATTGAATTCATTCATCTACCTGAACAACAGGTATGGGAGAATAGTGAATTTATATCAACTACGCATATAACTTATGATATTCCAGGTGAGTAACATATATTGCAATGTATATTATCCATTAGTATAAGAGTTATTGTTTTACTCATTTTTACTATATTTTTATTTAGATCTCAATGCAGATTTGGAAATTTCTATTGGACAATATTAAACTATCATATGATAAAATTTCTTGTGATTTATCGATTATATAATAGGGTCTTTAATTATATAAAATTTCTATTCGATAAGTCTATCTTATGCGATATTGTTATTAACAACTATTGACTGCTTCGAATTTAATAATAAAGTACTGATGTGTCACAGTAACTTGGATAATGTTTTTAATTTAATACAATTGAAGCTGACAGATAATAAGTAAAGTCTATTAATTTAAGGAGTATGACATAAAGTCACAAAGGTATACAATAATTAAAAATAATAAATAAGAGTAGTTCAAAAATAAAGAGCACAAAAATGTAATATAAAATCACAACTAAAATGAGATGTCAACTCTTAATAATCCCAAAAACAGACTTTCGAATTCTATCTCCTTATTATAATTGAACACAAAGGTATCTTATACATATTCGAAAACACTTACTACGCTGGGAACAAATTAACCCTATTCTAATATGATGCTGTATTATTTTAAGTCAATTCCAACAGTAATTTTACACCTTTGCTACGAATAAATAAAGGAGTTATTTTTAAACCTTCGATTGATAAGGCCGCTCTAAGGCACTGATCAATCAAGACCTACTTGCATGAAATTTGACGAAAAAAAGGAAAAAACTTAACAACATGAAAATAAAGAAAAGACTAATAACAATAATAAATGAATAGTATCCTGTGTGATTATTACTAAATTGTAGAATCAAACTAAATCGGTGAATCTGACAGAAAAGAAGGAATGATCATGGTCGTCAGAATCGTAATTATCAGAAATATTTTGGGTACGTTGTCTTTTAGCGGATTTATAGTGAATTAATTGATTTAATGGCATCGAATCGTTTTTCTTTTTATGATATTAGTCTATTTTTTTTTATCTTATTTAAAACATAATATCGTAGTACAATAACTAAAGACCGAGACCAATACAACACCCAATGAAAACTCTAGTATATTATAATATTGCGCGTCTGTGTTGCAAGAAAGTTTTCAAGTTTATAAATATTCCACATTTATAACAAGCAATTTTGAATTTTAAACAAAATTTTCATTTGATCGATAGAGACTTCGTGTTTTACACCAGGATATTTTGCATGAGTGATATTGAAAAATGGTATTTTAGCTAGTGCACTGTAAAATTATATAATCAGAGTATTATTGCTGAGCATTGCTGTTTCTAAATAAAGATATATCACTTAGTTGATTAACAGAAGTTCTCTTACAAAATTATTAGTTGTTTTCTATTTAAATTTTTTTCACTTAAGTAATTTAACATTAAAGTTTACAATGTAGGAACCTGACTAATCAAACGATACCTCGCCGATTATTAAATATTAAATATTATTTAATTTGCAATAAAAAACAAAAGAAAGAAGGAGATAACACAACATTGATGATTTTATAAAGCTACATATTTTCCGAAAACACATTGAAAAGTATGTTCGAAGTTATATCCTTAGATGATTTGAAACATTCAACACTACTCTAGTCAAAGCTTTGAAGGTTATTGTTGAAGTAATCAATTTAAGATTTTGTGTGTTGAACTAAAAATAGTGTTATTTATTGGTTTTCAAGAGTTGTACAGTGAAACCTCTATAAATGCATCCTCTGTAAGTGCACCTTCTATAAGTGCACCATCTACAAGTGCTAAATGCACGCTTAAGTTCGGGCCCAAATATATACATGACCTTCATAAATGTACTTTTTCTTATTGTTCTCTAAGTGCACGTCGTTAAAGTCCGATCCCAACAGCATGCATTTCTGGAGGTTTTACTGTAGTCACAATTAAGAAAGCAACACATGATAATCATAATGAAACAAATAAATAACCAAGCCATTAGAGAAGTAATCCGAATAACCTCAAATTATTTTTTTAAAATTTTATGGATCGCATTTCTACAAGCCATATTCTTTTTTTGTTTTATAGTTTATCTTGATTAAATAGCATGAGATTCCATTTTTCACTAGTTGTTTTTATGAAGTTATAAATCACAGTCTTGAACCTTTATAAAATTCAAAGATAAGCATTATCTAGATGTTGGATTCGATAAAATTTTTCAAAAGTCAAGTTTCAGAAGTTACAAGTTATTTGCCTCTAATTGGGCTGAAACGGAGGGGAGCGAATATAAGACCTTTCTATGTTTTACTAGGTTAGGTCGATGTCCGGCTCTCGTCCCTGTAATAATGATAAGACAAATCTTAAACAATCGTATCCCCTGTAAAATCCAATTAATCGGAAATTTAATTATCAATAAAAAAATAAACAAAGTGATGATTAACAAAACACAATACGCCTGAAAAAAAGGCTGCAAAAATGATGCTAGAAGATTAATATCTATGACACTCGATGAACGGTTAATATATCGAAATAACGAGTCAAAAAAAGGCAAGATCAGTGAAAGCGTCAGAATAATGCCGAAAACGAAAATGGAAATTCAAGCAAGATTAACTGAAGAGCAAAGATTGCTGCTTTATAAATTTATAAATTATAAATTAAAGTTAATAATTGTTCACATACGTACAGTAAAATAAACTTATATAATATGCTGCTTAAAACACAGATCTTATTATTCATATATATGTATATTATAAATTTTATTTCCAAAGTTTAAGTGTGTAATAAATAAGGATCCAGTCCTACAAAACGGCGCGCCGATTTACTATCTTAATTCCCTTTTTATTCATGTCGATTTAATGAAAAATGGTTCGAATATAATGACAAATGCTTCAAAACAATATCTATCAGCCAGTGTAGGAAATCTGATGTTCTCATGTTCTTAAGAGAACATACTTTTGGATTTGAGAACATTTGTTACTTTAAATATGTTCTCTATAAAAAATTTTTGAGAACATATTGCTTAATAAATATGTTCTCTATATAGTATAATACTGAATGAAGTTAACAATTAGAAAATGAGTAAAGTCTGAAAAATTCCAAAAAGAAAATGAACGAACATAAAAGACGAGCATGTTTGGGACAAAAATTTGAATAAATTACTAATATTATCCGAAAATTTTTTAAAATGGTATTGAGAACATAAAAATATTTTGAGAACATTAAATTAAATAATTGTGTTCTCATGAGAACATAAATTTAAAACCAGATTTCCAACACTGCTATCAGCCTCAATAATAAAATGCAAATTAATTACGTGTACTAATTTCATTACATAATTCGGATTTTTATTAAATTGAATTACAAGGTGTATTGTGAAAATAATTGCCATCCCTTCACTGAATATCCATCTAGTTATTTAAGGAAATCAAAGGCATTACTTTTTATCCAAATGATATTCGACTTATCCTCCCAACAGCACTAGAAAAGTATCGATTATATACTTTGTCAGTTCAAACTTTTTTCGACGGTTTCCGTTGGTTTTTGTTCCTCGGTTGGTTTCTAACTTTCTCATGTTAATTAGTAACCAACCCTAATAGTTCTTAGCCAATCTTCGAAATCACAATTGATATGACTTAACGTTCCCGTAGAAGTTTATAAAAAAATTTTCTAATAAATTTCCATATCAGGCATAATAACGTACGTACCCTATGATTAACTATTTATAGCTAAATATAAACACTATCGCTATCGCTATATCCTAAAAATTTAACATTAATGTTGCACAGACGTTTTTTTAAGTGCAAACAAATCACGCAAAAGATGAGATTTTCGGTGGACAATTTTAGCCGTGACCGACTGTTGACTGCACTTTGAAGATCAACTTCAACTTATATAAGACTTAACCGTACGTACATGCTTATATTCACAAATTTACTACGTAAAGTATTTACAATCAACGATACATAACCGTTTTTCAAATCAAAAATCATATTAAATAACATTAGTTGTGAGTATTTAAAAAATTCTTAATTTTACGATCAACATGAAGATTTAAAGTTATACACATAGAAATCCTCATATCAACATAGGTAAATATTTTGTGGTGCTATTTAACGTTAATATTAATCGTAAGTAGTTAGTCATGTGCATTTTAAAATTAAGTTGTGGCAAATCGGTTTATGACGTAATTGCACCTGCACTTCGTTTTAATTTACAATGATTCTTACCAAATATTCAAATATTTTTATCATTGGTTCAAAGAATTATCTCTTTTCATACTCTAAAAGGAATTTATCTGTAAGATATTTCATATCAACGAATATTAAAAAAATGTCAAAAACCCGCTCAGAAGAAGAATGGCAAGCAATCTTAACTCCCGAGCAATTTAGAATTTTAAGACAAAAGGGAACTGAACTGCCAAATACTGGTGAATATAATAAATTTAAAGGAAAGGGTAAGGTTTTTCTCTAAAATAATATATATTCGGCTCAGCCTTTTTTAAAATATTTTGTTTAATTGTAGCTCACTTTTATTAGGTGTATTTTGTTGTGCCGCCTGTAATACTCCACTTTATATTTCTGACACAAAATTTGATTCTGGGTGTGGTTGGCCTGCTTTCTTTGAAGCTATTCCTGGTACAATCAAATATTAAACTTATTGATTTTTTTTATCATTCGTAAATTATTCTATAAATATATACTTAATGTTATTTGATTTGAAATGAAGGTGCGGTTAATCGTCATGAAGATGTATCCAATAATATGAAGAGAGTTGAAATTACTTGTGCTGCTTGTGATGGTCATCTGGGCCATGTTTTTCAAGTAATTAAATATTGATTTTTCATTTTTAAATATTTTAATGTAAGAATTTTTATTTATAAGGTTTACTTAAAATAGGGCGAAGGTTGGAAACATACACCTGCAGATGAAAGACATTGTGTTAATAGCGTTAGCATTAAGTTTTCTCCTGACGATGAAGAAAAAAAGAGCAAAGAATAAACTTGATTTAGCTTTTATACATTTATTTCTTTTTATATGTATTATTTCAGATATTTTTTATTTCTATTCATGTTGATAAATTTAATAAATAAGGCGTAACTCTGGTTATATCAACATTCTCTAAAAATGAAGATTATTAAAAATGTCCGGATGTCAGTTTAACCG